TCATCATCACCATCATTACTGTTATCATCAACAGAAACAACGGCTACAACTATGAATGATATGATTACAGCTATAGCAACGGTAGCAGTAATGGAAACAACAACAGCAACTATAACGGCTACAATAACAACAGCAGCAACAACAACAATAACAACAGTAACAACAACAACAGCAACAACAACAACAACAACACCACCAGCAACAACAACAACAGCAACAACAACAACAACAACAACAACAACAACACCAGCAACAAATATGCCAATTGAAACAACAGAGATAACAACAACAGCAATTGCAAAAACGATAATCGATGATAATAATTCAATAACTGCAACATTACAAGTACCATTATCCAGTGCTATTGCAGAAAAAGACGATAATAATATTTCCATTCAAAGAGTAGCAGAAATTACTTCAAAGAATGTAACAATTGGTTCATACAGGTTAATTTTTCATCTAAATTAGTAAATCTTTTTATTTTTCGGAAAGAAAAATTTGCCATTAAATAGTTTAATTTTGTATTAAAAAATACATCTAAATGTATGAGCTTTTTTTTTTCTTTTTTTACATCCAAATAATACAAAATTAGATAAGATATTATTTTTAGCGTAAACAAAACATTATCTCACGTAAATGGAACAAAACGTTTATCCAAAAATGCTGTCATCTTTGATATCTTTCATAATGGACAACCAGTTGAAGCGGTTGTTGTTGGAAGTAAAATAACGCTTAGCTTCATCCCATATTATGCTATTTCCCGTACGTTTTCTTTTTCTTTTTTCTTTTTTTTTTTTGTCACATTTTATGTATTTGCTTGATATGATACGTAAATTTTATTGGTGAAAAGTATGTATCCATTTTAATTCTTTCTTTATCAAATTTTATTCAAAATGTTTTAGCGATATATATGAGCATAAAAGGATGTCAAGTTGAACCGATCGGATCGCTTTATGATTGGGAACGTGAGCCATTAATAATAATTAAGGATGGCTGTCAAGCAGATCATGTTGGTCTAGTTTGTCCACCGCAGAAGACCGAATATGGTATTCGAGTAACTGCTGAATCATTCCGGTATCAGACAACTTCGCGAGTACAATATTCCTGTCTTGTCCGAATCTGCCCTTTTGCACCATGTCCGATGGTAATGCACTACATTTTCATTAAGATTTAGTAACTTTTTTCCATAAATTTGCAAATTCAAATTTATAAGAATTAAATTATTTAAACAAAAACAATGATACAGGAAACGTGTGAGGAAGTGGAAGGTTGTGGAAACTCGAATCTACTATCCAATACGTTCGGATTACGTGCCAAACGTCATATTACAATCGAAGAAATACGAGCAGCATTAGCAGCAAATCCTGATTTACAACGACAAATACGATTGATGAACCGATTTGGTACACAGAGTCAAACAACATCAGGTAATGCCTAAATATTATCAATATTTTGTGTTATTCCTGTTTCGATTATATATAGAAATGATAATTTTCTAAAATTTCTAACCTAGGATTCAACAGTATTGCTCTTTTATTCTCTTGTCTAGAAAAGCTTGACCTCTAACATTAGGCTATTACTTTAAGACTGTGTAAAAATAGGATCACTGAAGGTATGGTTCTATGGAATGATACCAAATTTATGACCCAATTATGTTGTTAATTAAACACCGTACTAATAGTTGACAGGAAATTCCAATAATTAATAATTTAGAAATGCAACAACAATTGATAGAACTTGGAGGTGATCACGTCGTTAAAAAACAGTTAGTTGTTGTCAATTCCGAGGATGAATTAAGATACTACGTACGGACAGGTGATGTACCTTGATCAAATAATAATAATTCTAATTTCACCACATTCCATTGTTTATTTTCTTTTTCTTAATAATCAATGTTTAGTAATTTCTAGCATTAATTGTGACAAAAATTTCTCGAAGGGGTCAGAAGTCTATAAAAACTTACTCAAGTAACGTACATAACTTTAGTGAGGGATAGTAGCTCAAGCGTTAAGTGTATTTTAAACAAATAATGTGATATATTTACCTTAAAAAAAAAAAAAAAAAAAACAAAACAAAACCGCAACAATGCAGTATTGAATTCCATAAAATGCACAAAGTTTCAACTCATAATAATTCTTCCTGTCCTAAGACTTAGGTATTTTGTTCTAAAGTATAATTGTCAAAATTTGAAGGGGATAGAAATTGTCGTGCACTTGATGGTCTCAAGGTCCGAAACGTCGCAAACTTGGGAAAATTTAGTTCTTGTTCTTATAATTTATTTATTCCTTCCTTTTTACAGTCTTTTGTTTTTTCTTTTTTAAAGAACAAGTATATTTTAATAGTACTGCTTTGAGAACCAATGGCTAAGACTCATAAGCAACGTATCCTGAAATACTACTTAACTCTATCACCCTCCGGCTTTCGGGTATTTATGTTTATTTGATCGTTGTTTTGCAGTAAATTATATTGTATAAATTCGTAATCATCGTATTAAGTGATGCAAAATAAAGAATATAAGCTTTATAAAACTATGTATGCCCTGCGACATGCTCCAGGTACATGGAAACTTTTACACAGGTGCACAAAAAATATTGGAAAGTAAATCGTCATTATAAAAATTTGTGAAACTATTTGCTAAAATCTGAGATCGGCAACCAGAAGATCTGTGTACTACGAAATAGATGTGCATTTTTCAGAATTAAAGAAGAAATTTTATTAAGTTATGCCTTTTTTTTTTTAAAAAAGCGACTAATTATAAGTAATGTACCTTACACATACTTCACACAGAAAAAAAATAAGCTATTGCGATTTCGAAGCAGGTATTTTTAAACCAACAAGTCTGGCACTTTCTTCTAGCGAACGTTCGCCGCCCTGAAATCAGGGAAAATTTTGAAATTAAACATTCAATATCTTATAACTAAAAAAAAATTAATTCTCCCTTTTGATGAGCACTTCCAACAAATTCAAACAGAAATTGATTTCAATTTCTAAACGTTGTCTTTTTTGCTCCTATCCAATAAAAATTTTACGAAGTCTTCGGAATTATTATCCAAGAAAAGCTTCCCGTGAGGTTTAAAAAAAAATTAAACTGGCTCACCTTATACTTTTCCTGTAATGTTTTCAAGCGCATTGTACTGGTCAAGTAATGGCGGTATGTACTAGCAAGATGCTCCTCTTTTGGTATATTATGTAATATATCATTCTTATTTTGCTTGGCATTTGCTTTCTGCTTTTGGATTGACTTCATTTCCGGCTTTTTCCAACTAAAATCCTAGAACACCAAAAACATATCTCTATACTACGATAATATAAAAGAGATAAGAAAGCCTAATTTCGAAATATTTTCGAAAATGCCAGATTTTCCCTAAGATATCCTGAAGTATTCTCGAATAAACATCAAGTATATTAGAATATCTTGGAATGTACTAAAAAAGTTTCAATGTGATATTTTGAAATTATCCTTGGATATCATGGAATATTTCAGGAACAGAAAATAGCTTACGATTCCAGATTTATGGAAATCTTCAATAACATGTCTGATCACTGAGGCTGCTTGCGCACCATTCTTCCACTTTGCCATTTGGTCTCTTCTGCATCAAATCTAAAATTATGAGCTTTTCATAAAATTACTCAAGATTAAATCACTGAAACGCTAACTGAAATCGAAATTGTTAAACTGAAACTATAATTTGGTAAGAAAAAAAAGTACGTTACGACTCAAAAATCAGCCGAAGAATTGAATTGGGCAAATTTTCAACTCTATCACTTCCTATAGAGTAATGTACGCTTCTTACAGAGTGATGTATATTCCTTGCGGAGTGACGTAAGTTTCTCGCAAAGTGATGTAAGTTAAAAACGTTAAACACACGTGGCGTAAATCACAACTGCTACAACCTTAAAATTGAAAAATTTATTATGACACTTTGCCCGAGTTGTTTAATACGTTGCATAACTAAGAGTGGCCGAACCGCGAAAAAGAAATCTCAATTTTCAAATTTCGTTTCGATTTTGTTTGTATCAACTGCTCTTGACTGGTTTGCGTGCGTGGTAATCCCACGTATTGACGCGAGCATACCTGGCGTGTAGTAACACGTGAGGCTATAACGCGTTTTACACGCAGCAATTTCATATCAATCAGTGATTGCGTGTATTTTGAAGGGAACCAAAGATTAATAGGGATATGTGTAATACTAATGTTCAAACAGTGGAAAGGGTAGAAAAAAATAACGTGGGATTGAGAGAATCTACAAAGATTTCCATATTCTGGGGAAAGATTACATTGTTAAAGATTGAGAAATTATGTAAATATACCCGTTTCATATTGGCACCAATTATTAGGAGTAGGAATAAGGAAAGATAAGTGGGGAGATCAAAAGAAAAAGGAAAAAAGATGCATAGATTTAGAGTAGGTAGCCATATAGGAACTGAAATGGATCCAAATAAAGTAAGTAATAGAACAATACGAAATATTGTTACGAGTTGTCAGTTTTGAGATTGTTAAGATGTTCCGTCATGACTTTCGCGCATAATTCTAAATGTAAATGCAATTTTAACTTCTCGTTTTTTTCTTTTTTTCCTTTTTTTGTTTTGCGAGAAGTTGTTCCAGATTCGAGTTGTTATCCATATATGAAATATTGACTCAATATAATTGACTCAATATAATTTCTTGCATGTGCGCAAACAAGAACGTGAAATAGGTTGTTTACCTTCGTTTGTGTTTCTTTCTGTGTAACTCTTTGCGTTTCTTCATCATATCAAACGAAAGTGCTTCCGTCTTTTTACTGATGATTCTAGATTCCGGAAAGTTTATCAGTTTAGAATGTCTCAGTTTAGAATGAATAATAGCCCGCCAGAAAAGCGTCGATGTACGAAAGGTGAGAAGAAAGCTGATGTTGGTAAGATGAAGGGTAAGGGAAAAGATGATGATGATGATGATAAAACAGAAATTGCAAGAGAAGGTGATAGTGATGCAGAAGAAACGAAAAAAGATGAAGATGATAGTGATGATTCTGTGTTGCTATCACAAGCTATGGATGGCGGAGGTATAAAAAAGTTTTACTGATTGTTTAGATGAACAGTACTTTGTTATCTACCCATTATTTTCTATTTATTCAATATGCTGGAGCAGTAGTTTTTGTTACTTGAGCATTATAACATGAACGAGATAACTAGAATATTTTATTTTCAATTTGATTTTTATTTTCTTGATTAACTCATAAATAAATTTTAGGATGGATTTGTCCGACTCAACCTGATAAGGCATCGTTTTTGTCGGATACTTTGAGAGAAGGCCTACTGAAACCGTTTGATGATATACCGTTTGCTGGTGATGTGTATATGCTTACGCAAGAAGTACTTCTTTTTCTTGTATTTTTTTTTCTTTCAAAGTCTTTTAATGCAAAATATATTCTAATTCCCGTCAGTTCGCTTCAATTTTGGTATTGACAACAGTTACAGATTGACATCGTAGGCTTATTTGACTCTCTTCGGTATAAAATTACAATACATTGAGATAACCTGATATTGCAGGTGCTGCTGGTGTTACCTCATGTGGAAAAGGGGTTTTCCTTTTTCTTTTTTCTTGTTCTCAAGGGAATACATGGCTTATTTGTCGTGCGTATAAAATTATTCGATCTCTTTCAGATCAACAGGCTAAGAAGACAGCTTGGTGATTCGCTTGGAGAAAATCAAATGTTGATGTATAAAGTCAAAAATTTGAATCGGTGAAATAGTTTGTCAGCTTTATTTTTCTATCTTAAAAGTAACTCACTAGTTTCGTTTGAATGGAGGAAATTTTAACGATTCACATCCCATCATTTGTGTTTTCTATAGGGAGAACGCACTGCTGCAAGATAATCTGATTCAGATACAGCAGACATTCGAACAGAGGTTTCTTGAGCAGAAAAATGACTTTGAAAAGACTGAGAGAGATATGCGAAATGTGATCACTTATCAGGTACGTTCGTTTGCAAAAACATACATTAATTGTGAAGTGCGAGATTTTTCACCATAGAGAAGATATCTGTAATTTATTTCTTAAGTTGCAGTTGCTTTTGGGTTACTTAGATGTTGTGCGGATCATAATTTTTATGGTGGTGTTACTTTTGAGAGTTATGAATGTGGGAGGGATGTTTTTGCGAAATGTATGAATCAGTTTTCAACTGAACTATGAACATTAAGGGTTGTACTTAAATTCTGATCCCATTTTACTTTATGAATAATGTTGAGGAAGAAGTCCGTTTTATATATTCTTGGAAGATCGTATGCTATATTTCAAAATGATTCCAGGAACAAGATCTAAGAACCAAGGAATTTAGGGACCGTTTGAATAATTCTGCATCAGTTGCTACGGAAAACGATCGTGCCGAGGTTTTTTCCCTTTAAAGCAACTGTAGAAGTTGATTGAGATATTGAGAAAATTTCTTCGCAAACCATTCAATTTATGAGTAAATATAAATGTGCAAGTGCAGTTTTATCATTTCATCATTCAGTATTCGAATAAGTTTTATGGTAGAAGGTGTTATTGTATATATCTTTCTAGATGACAGAAACAAATAGTATTGGACGTCAAGACTCGCCCGTAATTCGACTCAAGAAAGTTTCTATACCAAGCTCTCGACCGGGAAATTGTTTTCCAAGAAGTCTGAATGATTCGCCAATGCTAAGAAAAGCTTTTGGCCACTGCAGATTAGTCTTAAATGATACTTTCCGTGCAGTCGATAGTCAAGGGAAATGTAAGTGTTTCGTTTTCTCTATTCTTCATTGAGAATCTTTGCACGAATTAATCCATAACATTGTATCAGCTTTATTTTATTTTAAATCAGTCAGTACTGTCGAAATGAAATTTAGCTGCTAGCAGTAGTACGTTCGATCAGCACGACAACAATGGCATTGAGGGTGATCGAATTAAGCAAACTTCTTTGTCGTCGGAAATACAAACTTCGAATCCTAATTTGTACAATTGTTTGATGTACCTCCGTCCAGATGTGAGTTTTTTAGACTGTGATTTGTCATTCAAATTTAAATATTTAATTGTAGCTATCATAATCATATTTATTGCAGAATCAGCTTTCCCATCTTTATGGCACATGTGACGAAATGATTACACTGGACTTCCGGACTATTTTCCCGGAACTATTAAGAAATCGTGAGTGGAAGACCACTCGGCGTATGCATGATGTTCTTGCAGAGCCACGAAAACGGTGGTGTCGCTAATGGATTCTGTTTCACTATTTATTAATGTGAAGTTTTTTTTTAGTTTCTGAATTTCTCCATTTTTATATTTAAGTTCGTTTTGTCTGGTTACTTTATTCTGTATTACACATTGCGCATTATTTTGCAATTATGCCCATTCAGTCTTTTTTCATTTGATTTCAAAGAGAAATCAACAAACTTCCTGCATTGGAGTCAATTTTTTCCAGTATGGGGCCTGTCTCAGGTGAAATTTCTTTTCACTTCTTGGATTTGTTCTAAGACCACACATTGCTCTCAAGTTTCATTGCTGTCTATAGAAAAACCGCTTCTTCAACTTATTGTTCATGATTTCAATAAGATTCGTTTTCGGCTACTTTAACGGCCCCATATTTGATGAGTTCTGAAACAGCTTCCATTTATTTCAAAGTTCTAAACCAGTTCCTTCCATTTATGACCTGTTGACTTCGATGTGTATGCACCTATTTTTTGGGGTCGGGTGAATGTTGCTGTCCTTTTTCTGAAATGCCGTTCGGTATGGTGCTCGTCTGTCTGAAAATTTCGTATTGTCTGTATGGTTACGAATTCTTTTCGTGGAAATTTATGATTACATAATGGCGCACTTGCTTCTTTCATCTTTCCTGTAATAGCTTATTTTTATCTATTTATTCTTTCATTATTTATTTATTTATTCATTTATTTATTTATTTGTAGTGACCTCGTTTATGTTTAGTTGGTATTGACGCGCTTACAGTTTTCCTCGTTGTATCATACTGATCAGTCAAACCTCCTTATAGTTATGCATTTTACTGATGCATAATTGTTTGAAGTTCATTTGGCACTTTGTGACATTATTTATTGTGATATTCAAAAAAAAAAAAAATCATGCGGAAAGCGACGAAACAATTTGAATTATTTTTTCACACCACCGACAAAATTCCAAAATTAGTGATTGCCGTTGATGGTAGGGATTTCGTTTCATTTTGATGTTGGAATGATTCTAAAAATTAAAAGGACCATTTGTGTAAACTTGGATTTAATGGAGGAATAAACCTTTGCTTTATATCTCTGAGTTATACTCTATTACATTCATGAAGTAGACAGGGTATTTGGAAATACTGGCAGATTTATTGGTACTAGTGTATACTTATTTGGATTGAAAATATTTGTTGATGGGATATTATTATGAAACATATTGCATTGCACTTCGCTAATTAATTACAAATAATATTTGTCATTTTTTGAACTTATTGGTTGCATCTGTGATGCATCGGAAAGAATTTACAATTGTCCGCTTCTTTGTCGTATCAATGATGAACATTGTATTACGCATACTGTATCCTGAAAAGGAAAGATTTTATCTTTGAGTGGAAATTATGTGAAATTATCAGAGTTGTATAAAACAATGAGAATTTTTTAAGAACTTAAAGAGAAAGAAAGAAGAAGAAAAAGAAAGAATAAAGAAAAAGGAAAGAAGGAAAAACGAATATCAACGTACAGCTATCACTTCCGAGAAAAGATATTCGGTTAACAATGATTCGCAACGATCAATCACCATCGAATGACATTCTGGCTAAAATTTTGTTTTTTTCTTTTTTAAACAAAAAGAAAAACTTCGATTTAATTTGAATGGTCTAGAAATTTTATTTTTCAACGAATTCATGAGAACAAATTTCGAATGTATGAAGAATATTTCAAACATACTCCTTCAGCAGTACATGTACACGTAATGCATGGTGTTATACGTTTTGTCCTTCCCAGATTAATAACTCGATGATCGACCACACAAAATTCTAAAAAGAAATTTCATTTCTTTTGAATGTTACATTATTGCTTCAATTTCTTTAATTAACAAAACAAAAAAGAGTAGGTGGAAAATTTCAAAATTTCACGTCGATCAAGCCATTCATAAAGGTCGATATCGGGTAATTCAGAGCATTTCATTGGTGCATTTCTGAAATTAAAATTTTAATTCATATTAGCGTATAAATATTAATTCATATTATTCATGTAAATATTAATTAATATTATTTTTAAATGATAAATTTTAGTTATGAATAATAAAAGTTTAACATACACAATTTTTGGCTTAATTGGTTAAAAGTTTAATTAATGAATAATTTCAAAATTAATAATAACAAATAACATTGAAAAGATAAATTTTAAAACAAACGTTAAATCATCCGGCATGAGAAATGCATTTGGTTGAATGCGACGCGCATATTGACTATTTGCGCAAATAAGCTTACTTAATGTTGTTTTCCGTATTTCAGCTAATTGATCTGGAATCTAGATATTTCAGCAAAATTTTACAATTCGATTATTCCGGAAGTAAGTAACTGATCAAATTAGTATTATTTATACTTTCTTATTCTCAGTAAATCTTATCCAGATATAATTAAATTACATGTTAAAAAAATTTGTTCACATTTATCTATACTATAGTGTTATACTTGTTTCTAATTCTACGATAATTTTAAAAGATTAAGTTAAAATTTCTTTTTCGTTAACGTATCTTACGTTAAAGCATAAAGGCTAATTTTCTCCTACATTACACAACATATTGCATATTTCAGGTAACCATCATCCTTTTTAGGAATATAATTCAAATTACTAAGGTTAAAATTATCACGGTTATCCTTCACGTAAAATAGATTTTAAGCTCAGTGGATACATCCTAGACAAAAAAAGAAAAAAAAACTATAAGTAAACGTTTAGTGCAGGTAAATTAGTTCAATTTTAGCTTAATTTTAGCAATTAATTCAATTTTTTTCGCTTCCTTTCCTTATCTGAAAAGTTTTAATTCCTTTTTTACAGTAACTAACTTCTTCTTTAAAACGATCAAAAGATAAAAGACTGAATATTTGTTTGAGGACATTTGCAATGAATGACATCCAAAATAAAAGTTCATCATCTTGTACATTCTTTATCACAAATTAACAATTGATAAATAGAAATTATTGAGTGAAATTATCAAATAACGATCAGAAAAGAATCGAACATCTCTGTTGGTATAAGTTAATCAAAGGATGAATTAAATTTGTTCTTTAATAAACAATAGTAATAATTCATTAATTAACTTTTCTCTTATCACTAATTCGTATCTTTAGATGGATCAGTTATTATAAAAGTAACAAACCTGATGTAAATCTTGTTGCCGCATTATCGTTTTCATAGTAAAATCGATCACAACGTTTTAATCGTTGAAATTGTTCACCAATGATGCATGTCAACATTGGTCCAACCAAAGCTCCTAAAATTTTGAAAAAAAAAATAAAAAAAAGAAAAAAATTAAATGGTTATTTCAAAAATTATACTAAAATATGACATTTCTTATAGGAATAAAATGAAAAAAAAGAAAAAAAATTAATAAATCTTGTTTATTTGTTTTTGTGACTTTTTTTAAAAAAAAAAAAAAAATTTACGTATTTATTTAAAGAATTTTTTCCATAAATCACATAAAAATTATTAAGTTTTCGATAAAAACTTTACTTTTCAAAAATCAAAAATTATAAATTATTTTTTTAAAAAAAAAAAGAAAAGAAAAACTAACCTTTAAGCGGTCTTTCAGACATAATACCCGGAAAGAGGTCAATATCATCTACATGATCATAAACACTTCGTAATGCAGCTATCGTTCGATCATCCATAACATCTTTTAAATCATCAAAATTTCTTGCACGATGCATGCCGCACATTTCACTGTAATTTTTTTTTCCTCTTTCTTGCCAATTTTTTTAAAATAATTTGTAAATTTTATTAATTAATTTAATAAATTACTTTTGCTAATCCTTCAAATATACATATATTTTTTCTAGTTTAATTTTTATTAAAAATTTTCATTTTCTTCTTTTTCTTTTCTCTTTTTTTCTTTTTTCTTAAATTAATTTTATATAAAATTAACCGATATGAATTATATGGTGGTACACCATGATCTCTTCCACGTTGTATATTAAGTGCCGGAAGATCCATGCCTGTATCATATGGATTAGTTGATCGTTGAAATAAATGATTACGTACCGCATCACTAATATGACGATCAAAGCCCATACTAAAATTATAAATTAATAATTTGAAAAAAAAATAATAAAAGAAAGAAAGAAAACAATTAATTTCAAATGAATATATCACTTTTAGAATTTAATTTAAATATCAAATGAAAATGAAGGTAATAACTTCTTACCTATGTGCTCCAAGAAGTCCCATAATTACTGATTCAATGTGTCCTGTTTCCAGAGTATAATAGAATGTTTCATTATTAAATGAAGCCTAAAACAAAAAAAAAAAATTCATATTATTCCATTTCATTAATTAATTAAAAAAGCTGGAGGAAGAAAAAAAATGATTACTTTCAAATCAAGACCATCTGTTTCTTCTTGAAATTCCGCATTCATACGTGGGAATATATTACGTATCAATGAATGTCCAAAACGAAATGCTGCTGTCGCCATTTCTTGTGTCATTGTCGCATCACATTTATCATCATATCCTTAAATTATTATTTTACGCTTCATCTTTTTTTTTCAAATTTTATTTCAGTTTTATTAATATTTTCTTCAATTATAATTTAATGAAGTAAGAAATATAATTAGATTAAAGATTGCTACCCCCTTTTTTTTTTATCATAATGCTATTACATTTTATTATCATATCTTGAAATTATTACTGTATTTAATTAAATAATACAAATAACTTATTCAAGTATAACTTAATTAAATACCTAATATAATAAGATTAAAAAAATTAATATAATTTAATTATTACCTTTATAATAACCAGTTTTACGTGGTACAAGATCATATCTTGCAGCAGCTTCACAACCTAATACAATTGGTAACCATTCATTATAGATGATATGTTGTACTTTAGCGCCCATTATACGTCGTGTTTCCTAGATATTATATTAATTTCTATTATTTAATAAATATTTTTAACTTTAATTTTTAAAAAATTAACCCTAAATTTGAATAAAAAATAATAATAATAATAGAATTGAATAATTAATAACCAAATAAATTTTTTCATCAGACCAAAAATTATTGATACGATTTAAGCTTGCTGCAATACGATTATGTTCTCTGAGAAATAATGTATGCATAACAGTAAGGCCTGGTTGTTCATTACTACGTTCATCACCTGCATTAAAACATGGATGTCGTGGTGTAGATCTGTAAATATTCTTAGCTTAATCTTTTTTTTTTCTTTTCCTTTTAAAGACAAAAAGTTCATAAAATTTTCAACCCTAAAATAGCCAAATGTTTTATTTGATAAGCCTATAAATTTGGAGGAAAAGTTTTAAAATTTATGCTAAATTATTGTTTTATTTTTCAGTTTATTATATGAAGTAAAAAAAAAAAAAAAAAACCTGCAATCTCTTTCTTGACGACCTTGTGGTAAGGCTTCTCGATTGAAGCCAAGATCTGTAAAATTCAAACGTCCTTGGCTAAATAAACGTAACCTATTTGCTTCACATTCTGTTGAACCATAGATAAATGAAGCATCAAGATATGAAGTTAATTGATCCAGCTAAAATTTATGATTTGAAAAACTTAAAAATATTATCAAAAAATTTTCTAAAATTTCTTAAGTTTCTTTTTTTTTTATTTGCAGAAGTTAAGATATTATTTAAGTTAGAACAATTAATAAAATTTATTGATATTTATACCTGATTTCGATAACCAAGTGTAAGTTGTCCAAGAAGAGATCTAGTAAATGCAATACATCTTGGTTCACCATTATCAGTTAAATGTGGAAAATATGGATCACCATTTTCAATTGGTATCGGAAAACAATGTATGGAGACAGTTTTAGCTGAATCACAACGACTACAATCCAAAACTGTATTTCCGGGTCCTGTTAATAATATTCAAAAGAATAATAATAATAATAATAATAATAATAATAATAATAATAATAATAATAATAATAATAATAATAATAATATATTAATTAA